GTTGGTATTTAAGTAGGAAATAATTTATTTAGAATTGTGACAACCATAATCCGAAGCCTGGTTTCCAGTCTTTTATCATTATGTGAAAAGTCCATCAGCCTTTTTGGGATATCCTGTGTCTCCAAGCGTGGAGCCCTGAGAAGGACCATCTTGGCTAGGTCGTCTTCCGGAAGGGAATGGATAACTCGATCTAATCACTAGGAAATATCTTGCAAACCCCCAGATGAGGAATGTTCTGTGGGGAAAATCAAAGTGTGGGAAGCTGTGTGCATCAAAAATATTTTTGTCATGAAAGACAAACAAAGGCTGTGGGGATGTTCCAGATTAAAGAAGACTAACGTGGCATAGTCATCCAATGCAATAGCTGCCCCGGGCTGGACCCTGGCCTGGGGGCACAACAAAGGCTGTAGGGGACATTACTGGGTCCACTGAAAATACTGGAATACTATCAATAGATTATATAGAAGTAATTTGTCAGCATTAAATTTCCTAAAGTTGATAACTATACTGTGGTATATAAGAGAATATCTCTGTTTTTAAGAAATAAACACTGATGTATTTACAAGTTTAAAAGATCCAGTGATATATGTAATTTGTCTTCAAGTGGTTCAGAAAAATAAAAGATTATGTGTGTGTGTGTCTATATATACATACATGTATAGAAAGAGAATATATTATCAAACAAATAAGGTAGACTGTTAAAAATAGGCAAATCATGTGAGTGTTCTTTGTACTATTCTTATTCTTGCAACTTTTCTTGAATTTTGAAAATATTTTGAAATAAAAAATTGAACACAGTTTTTAAAAAGTTACGTCAGTTTCATGATGTCCTTTCTATTCTCAACTAAGAGACAGTTTGGTGTTAGAGCTAAAATTTCAGCTTTGGGGCATCAAAATGCCTCAGTTTCAATCCCAGCTCAGCCACTTATCTGCTACGTTGATCTCTCTTTGCCTCAGTTTCCTTACCTGCAAAAATGGACGTGACTGTAATAACAGCATCTACCTTTGGGGCAGGGCTTAGAAATGAAAGAGGTCAGTCCACGCGAGAGTGCTGAGAGCAGCCCCGTGCCCAGGGTCGGGCCTCGGGAAGTGGAATTTTATCAGCTTCCAAAGAAGGAGCTCTACATGCAAGAGGAAGTGAACTAAGAGCCAAGATGATTCTAAAAACAATGACAAACAGAAGGGGAAATCTTACCGACAAGCTATCAAGATTCACAACTATAGTAAGCAAAACAGTGTGACATAATTCCAACAGAGACAGATGCAACAGGAGGCACAGAAGAGGAAGCCTGAACAGCTCAAACACATACTAAATGGGTACAGAAGAGATACAGAGTATATGTGCAACATAGAATCATTGCAAAGCAGGAAAAAAGGAAAGATTAGCACAAAAATGATGTTAGGACAATTGATGTTCCATACAGAAAACATTAAAAATAGATCCTTTCTATAGGCTATACATAAAAATAAATTCCAAATAAATTAAAGACCTAATCATAAAACATGCAACAACTTTCAAGAAAAAAATAAAAAAATTTTTTAGACAAGACATAAAAACCAAACACACAAAAAGAGGAAAACAGTAAATTTGATTATATCACACTGAGGGACTTCTGCACAGCAAAGGATACCACAAAGATAAAAGATAAGCAACACACCCAGAAAAGATGTTTGCAACACATGAAACAGGCAAATAATTAATACCCAGAAAAGAATGCATAAAAGACCAATAATCAAATAAAACTTGGAAGAAAGTTCTATATAATGGGAAATTTATAGAAAAAAAGAATTGGCTGATAAATACAGGGAAATGTATATTCTCAGTAGTAATTAAGAACACATAACCTAAAAACTTGGAGATAATATTTTACACCTCTCCAGTTGGCAAAAATGGAGAAGTCTGACAATATCGAGTATTACCGAGTGCAGGGGAACAGATATGCGTACACGCCCTGGTGGACAGCAATTCGACAATATCCCATACAAGGAGAATTGACACAGCAGTTGCCTTCCAACGTGTCAGCCAGAAAACAGCTTCATGCAAGTTCAGGGAGGGGGGACCCCGAAACGGTCAGAAACAACCTACGTTCCATCAGCACGAGAGTGGATAAGCAAATGAACAAATGACAGTGTTTGCACAGAAGCTTGCAGAGTGGCTGAAATGAACGCGTGCGGTCTGTATTATCAGGATGGGCAGAGAGTGCAGCGTGTTAGCTGTGCAGTGGCGGCTTCCTGTGAAGTCTTAAACACCCACCGGGCAACACAGAAAGGAAGCGCCGCCAGCCACGCGGCGCTGCTCCCTCAGGAGAGGGAGGGGCAAGCAGGACAGAGGAAGGGACCCAGGGGGCTTTAACTCATCCCTAACATTCTATTTTTTCATGGATATGTTGATTTCACTACCTATCTTTAAATACAGATATCGAAAATAAATTAATATTTGTTAATTCATGATGTTGGCTCCATAAATGTTTGTTCCATTAATCTCAGTTTTTTAAAAAAATATTTATAGAATATTCGAAGACTATTTTTTCAAAAACACTCCAGTGATGCTGTGTGTGGGAAACAGTGACCTGGCTTCTCATCCCGGGGACCCCGTCAGCCCGGTCGGCTATTTGCATGTGGGAGCCTGGACGTCCCAGGGTGACTGGGCAGATTCATCAGTCATTAAAGAGAAAGCCCAATTTTTTCTTCACTTGTGTTCAAGAAGCTGTCATGTTATTTTTTTGTTCAAAGAAATTTATTTATTGGAACTAAAAATGTATGTGATCATTATGAAAAATTCCAACACAGAGAAACTAAGGTACCCCATAATCCTTCTTCCTAGAAAGAGTAAAGAATATTCAGAGCCCCATTTTCCAAACTTCCAGACAATTTTGGGATAGATGAGCAAACATGCAAACCATGACTACAACTACATAACTCTATAACTATCACTTCGTCACTTCTGTTCAGGCCACCGCAGTTCATAGGAAGGCGTGTCTTCCATCTAAACCTATTGGACATTGTTTGAAACATTAAAGTCTAACTGATTTCGCCAGATTCCTACTGATACTCACCTTTTCTGGATTTCACTGTGGTTTCAGCAGTGCTGAATAATATCCTATTAAATATTTGGGGAGGCTCTTGCCCTATTATTTCACTAGGATAAATTCCTAGGGGTAGAATTTCTGAGTAAAATGTTGTGAACAGCTTGCACTTTGCTACATAATACCAAATTGCCCTCTGGAAAGATTGGCTCAATTAAACCCCTCGTATCCTACAGTGAGAGCTGACCACATGTCAGACACTGTGCTAAGTGCTTTAAATGTGGCAACAGATTTAATTCTCTCAACAGCCCCGCGAGGTAGGTACAAGCATTATCCCCAATTTACAGATGAGAAAACTGAGCACAGAGCGGATGCATAACTTGTCCAGGTTCTCCAGGCTGGTAAGTGGCAGAGCGGGGATTAATATGCAGGGAGTCCAGCCCCAGACACTCTCCTACCCACCGTATGTCTTTCCTAACGGCAGGTGAAAGCATTGGCACGCCGGGATGCTCTGCCAAGTAATCCAAACCTTGCCGATACAATGCAGGTAGCGGTGGTGCCTGTTCAGAGACTTGTTGTGGGGACGGAATGAACTAACACAAAGCGTTTTGCAGAGTACCTGGCACACCAGAAACACTCAAAATAATGGAAATGGTGTCATTTCCTTTATTATTTGTGAGCTTGAGCATTTCAAAGGCTTGTCGTTTATAATTCTTCAATGAATTGCCTGCTTATAAAATTTGCACATTTTTCATTGGGTTCCTCAAATTTAACCTCTTTTTTCCACCACAGGACAAACTGGTTTGTTTCTGTAGATAGATGAAAAGCAGAAACAAGGGGCAGAACTCCTCTTACCTTCCCCGCCCCCCACCAGGCAGGCACGCCGTACTTGGCCACCTTACACACCTCTCGTTGCCGCGGACGGGTTTCCGCCATTCCCTCCTGGTCACTGCCAGGGGCCGCGAAAACTGTCAGGTGCTGTGGCTGTCTGTCTGTCTGTCCGACATGCTGACTCCCAGAGGCCAAGGTTATCCTCTGCCCACGGGACCCACTCTGCCTGTGTCCGGGACACAGCCTAGCGCTCTGGAGACAGCAGATTCGATCTGAAGACAGACGGCTTGCCTTTGAGTCTTGGCCCAGTGTGAGTTCTGGGAAAGAAATCTTTGTGTATACAAGGAACATTTGTTGCTTTTTAGGAAGTGACTGTTGATGTCAAAGGGGACCTTAAAAAGTCGCATGTCTCTCTCCGTCTCTGTCTCTGTGCGTATTTCTAACCTTCTCTCTGTGCCTCTGTCCCTGTCTCTCCGGAATTCTTGCTCTCTGTCTGCTGCTCTGAGCTGGGACTCTCCCTCTCCAGCCGCCCTTACTTCTCCGTCGGTCTCTGCCTCTGTCCCTTCTCCCTTCTTCCAACACACACATCGAAGATGATTTTCAAAACCAAATGTGCTGTCGCTCTGGGTAACAAGGAGCCCACTTCACGGCGTAGTAACACTGATTCGCCATTAAGGGTGGGGCAGCATCTACGTGCCTACATTTTCTCATTCTATGTAATTATTTTTATTTGACTTAATTAAATTTAAATTAATTCTTTCACAGTCCCAAAAAGTAAGCATTATTGTCTCCCATTTCATTGCTTCAGAAACTTACACTCAGCGTCAGAGCTTGTTCTAGTTTGTCAGCAAATGGAGCCATAGTTTAAACCCAGATTTTCCCACATCCCAAGCCCACAGCTCTTTCTGCCACGTGATCCTTTCTATTCGTCCTTAGCCCAAAAGCATCTGTAAGTTGCAGCTGAAATGAAACAGACGAGCACTGCTCACCATCGACGTGAGAGAAGCCATCCGTCCACAGGGACACAGATATGCTTTAGGGATTGAGCCCCAGCGGGTTAAGGTTTCTCCAGTTTCCTGCTCACTGAGGCCCCCAAGGCCAGAGCAGAGTAACACCTGCCCCACGTCCACACGCCCCACTCACCCAGGAGGAGGAGGAGGGCTCTCAACACGCTGGCCCCCGAGCCCATGCTGGCGCTCCGCTCCTGGCTCCTTGCAGGCCAGGCACAGCGAGCTGTGTGAGCAGGCTCCCGGGGACAGGAACAAAGCCCCACGTGACCGGTGGGGAAGGAAGCCACTGCTACAGCCAGGAGGCTGCTCACTTCCTCTCGGCTCTGTCTGAGGGCAGGACTGAGGCAAGCCCCTGTCGCCCTGGCCTCTGCCAGGCCGTGGCAGGCAACGTGCCTGCGATGAGGGCCCACCGCGGCGCACTGGGCTACCGCACACCGTGTCACCTCTGTAATCCCCTCCCAGGGTGCGGGAGCCGTGGTGTGGCTGGGTGCGGTTACTTGCCCAAAGACCCACGCCGGTAAGTGTCAGAAGGGCACGGGGCAAAGCTGGTCTGCCCGGAAGTCCAGCCCTGGCAGCAGCCCCCCTCCCCACCGGCCTCGGGCAGGAGCAGGAAGCACCCTTCAGCCCAGACACTCCAGGCCCAGGCACTGTTTTGGGGCCAGGGACCCTTCCGAGTCTGCAGAGACCTATCGCTCTCTTCTCAGAGTAACATTTTTAAATGCCCAAAGTAAAGCATATAGGGATCGTAAGAGAAATCAGCAGCATTAAAACATTGTTATTAAAATATTTTTTAGGAACCAAACTCGTGGTATAGAAATATACACGCTGCTTCATCCACACAGTAGGATCTAGCGGCAGATAAAGTGGACACCACAATCTCAACTCAGTGATGAATGTCAGCAATATTTAGAGCTATCTGCGACAGCTGGAGTGTGCACGGAGCTACCTGCGATTCCCACGAGGAATAAAGTCACCTGGTGGTGCTGTCGCTGTGCTTTGTTTGCTGCACTTGTGTTGGAAGGAGACGCTCAGTGTCTGTCAAGGTCAGAGAACAGAGGTGTAATCGTTCCTATCCAAGGTCACAGACCCCGGGTCACGCTCCCTGGCTGGAGGAAGCTGGCTGGGACACAGGCTCGGCCAGCAGACCGGAGCCACACGCTCCTGCAGTTTTCCTGTGTGCCTGCACGTTGTCAAATGCTTACCTCCAAGCACCAACCCCGGTGCGCAAGAAATGTCACTTTTTAAAGTATAAATCCACTGAATAACAAGTCTCGAGCCCCCATACAGCTGAGCTGGCAGAAACTGGGCTCTTTCCACTCTTGGGCTCCCTCGGTCAAATCCCAACAGTAGCGGCCAGATCACAGGCACTCCCCACTCTGCCTGGCACTCTCTTAGAGTGTGGCATTTACCCTTCACGACCCCAGGAGGTAGTTACTCGTGCCGGCCGCCCTGCGCCAGAGGAGGAAACTAAATCACGGCGGCGTGTGGTGCCCAAGTCCACGCAGGGGCGTGTGAGAGCCGGGCTCTGGGCCTCACCCCACGAGCAAGCGCCCTGCGTGCACGGGCACCACCCACTGCCGAGGGCCCGCCACAGGCTGTCGGTCGCCCACTAGGTCCTGCAGTGTGGCCACCGTGGCTCTTTCTGAGTCTCACGTAAATAACGGACATGAGTGGAGAAGGCTGGTCGTGAGCAACCAGTCTCTCCGTCCAGACACACTTTATTTATTTTATTTCATGAAATTAAGATCGGTTTCCACCTGCACCGAAAAATATACTCTCTCTCGTTTCTCCTGGAACGTGTGGAGTTTTAGAAATTTTCCCCCAGTTAATGGAAACATTTGCAGGAGAAATATCTCACTTTCCCCTAAGTGTACTGTAGGAAAAGGCCAGTACGGACGTGACAATCTGCAGACAGTAGCCGGGGACCAGGAGAGCTGCATTCAGACCGGGCCCGGGGCTTCCAGCCATGCCGAGTGGTTCTGTTCTTCTGTGAAATCACTAATTTTCAAATGTTGGCAACTAATTTTAGACTCTTTCCGCATGGGGTGCATGAATGCAGACACTAGTGAGAACCTCTCTAGAACACCTCTGGAAACCCCCTCAGGGGCCTGACCCGAGAAGTATCTGCAGCAACTTCTGCTTGTCACTTGGCCACAGCCTCCGGCGTCCAGAAAATGCAGAGTCTGCTACCTGCTGAGAAAGAGGTTCAAAATGGCCCAAGAGCTGGAGTCTCACCATGTGACCTGACACCCAGCCCCCGCACCACAGTGCGGCGGCCCGTTCGTCTTCTCCGTATGGTGCAATGCCCCCAGCTTGGGTGGTGCCCTGCCCCGTGCTCCTATAATGAATGCCCGGCTCAGACCCCGAGGCTGCTTCTGTGCCAGGCGTGGAGTGGCTCTCACTAGACGGGGACCCTGCGAGGACAGGCCCAGAGCACCTGGCCCAGCGCCCGACGTCACACAGGCGCCCAGTAGCGATTGTGCAATGGAGGAGTCGATTCCCTCTCTCGGCTCACACCCAGCCGCCAGCCCAGCCGCCAGCCCATCAGGCAGGAATGTCATGGGGGTCGCCTGCATTGGGAAGGTCACCTGTGCTGCCAGTCAGAAGAGAATGAGCCCCACTCCCGCAGCACCGAGATTCTGTTTCTCACTGGGATACGAGGTCCCCTCTGGCGCTGCCAAACAGGGGCCTCTCCTCCCCCAGCACCCGCAGGACCAGCCATGGAGCTCGCAGGATTATGCGTGTGCCTTTAGTGCAAGTCAGGAGAAACCGCCAAATCCTCCATCTTTGTAGGAGGTTTCTAAAAGGTTAAAGACAGGCAAGATTTGGCACACAGATTGCTGTACTGGCATTACGTAGAACTCTGCACCCTATGATTAAAAAACAGCCATTCTTCTCAGCACACATGCAACATTTACCCGAAAAAATGGCCACATCTGGGCCATGATGTAAGTCTCAAAAATTTCCAAGAATAGGTGGCATCCAGACCACATTTTCTTACCACAATGCAACTGAATCAGATGACAGCTGCAAAAACACGAGGTCAAATTTTCATTCGTTTGGAAATTTAAAAACATTTCTAAGAAACTCATAGATTGAAGACAAATTACAGTGAAAATTAAAAATGGCTTTGAACTGAATGATAATGGAAATGTCGCATGTCAGATCTTGTAGACTTCAAGCCGAGTTATAATTAGAAGGAAAGGTATAGACACAAATACCTAGAAAGAAAGGACTGGAAAAGGAATGAGCTAAGCAATCAGTCTGAGGAGTCTGGAAAAGAATAAACCCAGAAAAAAAAAGGAAATAATAAATACGAGAGCAGAAATGAATGAACCAGAAAGCAAAGGTATGATAGGGAGAATCAATACATCTTAAAGTTTCTCTTAAAAAAACTGATAATATGGCAAACTTCTCACAAAATAGATTAAGGAAAAAAGAGAGAAGACGAAAATAAATAACATTAAGAATAAAAAGGGAACGTAAGTACAGAAAAGGTAGTGATAATGGCATTAGTAACAATCTTGTGCCAATAAATTTGAAAGCCTGATGAAGCGCACACAATCTCAGGAAAACATAGGTTGCTGAAACAGACTTGAAAAAAACAGAAAGACAGTGGGTTCCAATACCTTTCAAAAAATTGAATCAAATAGTTAAAAATCTTACCACAAAGAAAATGCCAAGCCAAACTGTTTTACATAATTTTATAAAAATGTTAGAAACTTTAAGGACGAGAAGATTCCAATATTAACAAACTAGTTTGGATAATAGAAAAAAAGGAATATTCTCTGACTTGTCCTAGGAGGCCAGCGTACCTTTTTACCGAAACCAGACAAGAATAGAGTAAGAAAGTAAAAGTATAGCCCAATCTCACTCAAGAACATAGAGGCCAAAATCCTTTTAAAAATTAGCAAATCAAATGCAGTGATGTGTGTGTATATATATAAAGGGTAAATTATCATGACCAACTCATTCACCAACTTTAATGGGTTAACACAGAAAAACAGTGTAATTATCTCAATAGATACAGAGAAGTGTTTGATAGAATCCATCACCCATTCGTGATAAAAACTCCTAATAAACTAAGAATAGATAAGAACTCCCTTAATCTGATTTAAAAGACCAAAATATAACAACAAACATCATTCTCATGGTGAACCACATAGATGTAATCTCTTTCAAATTAGGAACAAGACAAGATGCCCTTTATCAGTATTTCTATTAAATATTGACCGGAAGTCTAGTTAGTGCAGGATTTTTTTTGTTTTTAAAAGAAATACAAAGAATAGGAATTGGGAAGGGAACAAAAACCATATTCTCAGTTGATATGTTTATCTATGCAGAAAGCCTCTAAGACTCAAAAACTAATTATTAAAAATAATAATATGGCCAAATACAAGGTCAATATTTTGAACATCAATTTAATTTCTATATACTAGTAACAAACAGAAAGCATATTTAAAAAAAAATCACACAACCACCATTCCACAATGTATATATATTTCAAAACATGTTTACCTGATAAATATATATAATTTTTATTTGTCAATTGTTTGAAACATCTAGTCTTTCTAGATGTTTTTAAACTAGATGTTTAAAAGCACACAACATATGTTAAAAGTAGAGGGCCAAAGTAACACCCCTTAAGTGTTTCTTGTTGTTTCTTGCGCTTGGGGAATGGAATTTTTGAGCTTGATGTCTTGGAGAGTATGCTGACTGTCACTGGGTGGTGGGGGAGGGGAGGAGGAAGTATGCAGAGAAAGTTCTGTGCCAGAGTTGGATTAGTTCACATTGCTTAACCATTGTTCTATATGTGCATTTTAGTTAATATTGCTGTGTATTATATGATAAACAAATCCTAATGCTCAAGGTATGTTCAAAGTAGAGGTAGTAAAATAAGCCCTTTATATATGTCCTTTTCTTAGTTTTTAGGAAGGACTGCCTTTTGGGAATGACTTCTTTTTTTTTTTTGAGACAGAGTCTTTGTTGCCCAGGCTAGAGTGCCGTGGGGTCAGCCTAGCTCACAGCAACCTCAAACTCCTGGCTCAAGCGATCCTCTAGCCTCAGCCTCCCGAGTAGCTGGGTTTACAGGTGCACGCCACCATGCCTGGCTAATTTTTCTATTTTTAGTAGAGACAGGGGTCTCACTCTTGCTCAGGCTGGTCTTGAACTCCTGACCT